ACACAGACAGACAGACAGACAGACACACACACAGACACACACTCACACACACAGACACACACACACACACACACTCACACACACTCTCACTCACGCACACAGACACAGACACACAGACACACACACACACACACAGATTGAATCAGTGTATTGATCACCACTGAAAGAATGAGTGACATTTTGCTGTGTGCGCATTTGTTCGCATTACACAATCTCTGAACTCAGACAACCGGCGAGCAGAAAACAGAGTGAGACAGAGATGAGGAGAGGAACGAGAGAGAGAGAGGCAGATGAAGAGTGATGAAGGTCAGTCGTGATGTAAATTCACCTCTCTGGTCTCTCACTTTCATCAATGACATTTAAATATAAATACATTCATTATAAACAAAAGGCTTTCAGAGTTCAACTCTGTAAAATCAGTGGAGTTAACTGGCCATCAGTGTCAGCTCTTAACGAGGGGGCGTGACGGTGGGCGGAGCTAATTAGACAGCTTCTGATCTACAGACATGGAAAACATGACATACAAATGGATGTATGATCAGAGACACACACCACGAGGAAAACTACTGAAGCAGAAGTGTGTGTGTGTGTGTGTGTCGTACCTGTACTGCATCGCGGTGTGTGTGTGTGTCGTACCTGTACTGCATCGCGGTGTGTGTCTCTGAGCTGAGCGTGCCGCTGCATTGGTTTCTCTGGCACTCTGATACACACTCAGTGCTGTTAAATGAGAAGAACAGCGTGATGCAGAGAGAGAGAGAGAGAGAGAGAGAGCTGCCGCCACCACTGAACCAGAGTGAAGGACGAGAGACCAAAGGAAAAGAGACCTGAGCGCACTCAGTGGACGCCTTCTTAAACGCAGCTGTCACACACACACACACACACACACAAAGAGAGAGAGAGACGGCTGACAGCAGCAGTTCTCGTCTCATTTTCACTTTCTGTCTCTGTTAAGATGCAAATGCAGCACATCTGCACTCTGTGTGTGTGTGTGTGTCAGCACCTGTGCGCTCTGTGTGTGTGTGTGTGTGTGTGTGTGTGTGTGTGTGTGTGTGTGTGTGTGTGTGTGTGTTTCTGACAGTAGATTAACCTCTCATATTGTCTGGAGCTTCAGGGTGAGACGGACAGCCGGTCACAACAAACCCAAACCACCTCCTGAGAGGAAAGACTGATCTATTACACCTGACATGCATTAATAATGTATTTTTATATATATATATATATATATATATATATATACAAAAAACATTAAATAAATGAAATCTCTATGTTTACTGCACTAGGTCAGTAAGATTTTTTTATGTTTTAAAGAAGTCTCTTCTGCTCACCAAGGCTGCATTTATTTGATAAAAACTATAGTAAAAAATTATGAAATATTATTAGAATGTAAAACAGCTAACAGCTGTTTTCTCTGTGAATCTCTGTTAAACTGTAATGTATTTCTGTGATGCGCAGCTGTATTTTCAGCATCATTACTCCAGTCTTCAGTGTCACATGATCTTCAGAAATCACTATAATATGCTGATCTGCTGCTCCAGAAACATTTCTGATTATTATCAATGTTGAACACAGTTGTGCTGCACAATATTTTTGTGGAAACTGTGATGCATTTTATTTTTCAGGATTCACAGATGAACAGAAAGTTCAGAAGAACAGCATTTATACAATATAACATTATAAATGTCTTTTATATACAGTATATCCAGAATGCTTCTCTGTATCTCAGTCTGTCCATATATCTGTCTGTCTCTCATTATCTAATCTTGTAATGGTCTCCTTTCCTGCATTTGTTCATGATCTATTTGTCTCTTGCTCTCTGTCTGTCCTTCACCCTTCACTCCTGTCATTCTCTTTCATTGGGGTGATAAAATCACTGCCTTGTTCTCTTTGTGCAAACAAGCCTCTCTGACACAGACAGAGAGACAGACAGACACAGACAGATGGACAGACAGACAGACACAGACAGATGGACAGACAGACAGACACAGACAGATGGACAGACAGACAGACACAGACAGATGGACAGACAGACAGACACAGACAGATGGACAGACAGACAGACACAGACAGATGGACAGACAGACAGACACAGACAGATGGACAGACAGACAGACACAGACAGATGGACAGACAGACAGACACAGACAGATGGACAGACAGACAGACACAGACAGATGGACAGACAGACAGACACAGACAGATGGACAGACAGACAGACACAGACAGATGGACAGACAGATGGACAGACAGACAGACACAGACAGATGGACAGACAGA